TAAGCGTACGTGTGATTTTTCGGGGCATTTTTATTCTTATTTTAGCTTAGTGTTCTATACTTTGGGGGCGTTTTTAATAAAACAATTATTGCGCTCGCGCTTGTTGGACATGAGAGGATTATAGCCAACTCGCTAATATGCACCTCGTTGGCTATCTATCATCTCTAATTATCCAACTGCAGCGAATACTGTTCAACAGTACAAATATACGACGATATTGTACAGTAGAAAGCCTGTTTGGCGTATTTGTACAGTAGAAAACCTGTTTGCCGTACAGGTCGGTGTGCGCGAGCAAAACTGTCACACTCTCCCTCTTTCACAATCTCGTTCCCGTTCCTTGACCAGCGGTCGGAAAACGAGAGCTCTGGGAACAACCATTTTGAAATAACCGAATTCTGGTGATTCTGCCCATCCAGTTTCACTGCGCAGTCTGCATCTATGACGCATGCCTGAAATGGTTGCTCCCAGAGCTCTCGTTTTCCGACCGCTGATCAAGGGAACGAAGACTCTGGGAACGAGATTGCCCCTTTCATTGATAAATTTATCGACTAAAGCTGTTGGATAATAAATCTCTTATTAGATGTTTTGGTGTGGAGTATCGCTGTATATTTTTACTCGTTGTTTGTATTTTGACTCGCCCTACGGGCTCGTCAAAATACAAACAACGAGTAAAAATATACAGCGATACTGCACACCAAAACGTCTAATAAGATAAATATATTCAACGCGCGCTCGTGGAATAATTGTTAAATAGGCAATATTCGTATTCTCAGTATTAGACTAGAAATAGCTTGCAACTTAGGCTAATGCGGGAAGTCTTTTTAATGATATTCCCCGCAGGAGCCTCCATTGCAAGCTAGTTCCAGTCCAATACCGAGAATGCGAATATGGCCTATTGAAAATTACAATGTTTATAACCACTGAAGCCAATAGATTCTCAATACAAAACGGCATTAATTTTGCTGACGTCTCCATATCTGAGTCCAGACTCTATTGCGTCACACGATCACTAAGTTTAGTGTTACTTCGTTGTTCTCAAACTATCATTATCTCCCTTGAGTTTTGCATGTTGATGTTCGTTAAAATATCTTCTATATTTTTCTTATCAGACCACAAAATGGAGGAGACGAATGTCATGGGTCATCGAAAGCATACTGGGAAATATGTAACAGCGATGTAAGAGCAATGAACAATAAATACATTTTTGTTTGTTTGCACGCGATCTTTATTGTATAAATGTTAGCATATCAGGTTTCTTGTAAAAATGTTAGCATATCAGGTTACATAAAATATTTGCATTTCCGTTTCTAAAATTAAGCTTTATTGGTTCTGGGATAGGAGCTAATCAGTAACAATTAGATCATGAGCTTGAGATTTCTATGAGGTGATAGTTGATGAGGCCGAAGGCCGAATCTTCTATTACCTCATATAAATCTAGAGCTAATAATCTAATTGTTTCAGTAGAATTCTAACTGAAGTTTTCTTGAAATAACCGTTTCCAATTACTTGTTGACGTATTATATAGCTTTGCGCCTTAGAAAGATCGCTCGGATTGAATTGTCATTTGAAATTGTAGTTTGTAGTATTTTTTGCGCGCGCATTATTTTTTCCAATAATTGCAAGTTTTTCAAAGTCAAGAAACCTTTAATGTCCTTCTTTTAGTCTTCTCAGGAATTGAATCATCGATTTGCATAAAAAAAAGGTCGCCATTTCGTAGACGACCTCCAGCCACTGCACACTAATGGCTGATAGTGTGCGATCACTCAGCTAATCAGATTGCAGCATTTGCATGAGTGTTCACGTAGAATTCTACTAATGATAGTTATGGTAACCTCCCCTTTCCCCTTACAATGTTTGTAAGGTCACGTGTCCATGTAGACCATGTGCTTGCAACTCACCCCGATGTGTCTAGGGTGATAAGAAGTGTTGTTAAACTTGGGTTGTCGTTTGACATTTCTAATAACACACTAAATTAATTTTAAATAAATTGAAAAATCGACATCTGCAAAACCAGTCAGGAATATTTTTTTAGTGATCAGGAGTTTTTTTTATTTACAAGTGCCATTTTGTTTTCGTTCCTTTTCAGGTGGAGTGTGATTGGTCTGAACCATCTTTTCGTGAGCAACAGTGCAAACAAATAAATTCCGGCTACACAGCTCACTCTCGGCCAAGTATGTTATAAATTAAGTTTCATTTGAGCTTGATGTGCATCACAAACTAGTTAATTAAACAGAAAAATTCCAGTCTGATTCAACTTATAATAAGAAAAAGTCGATAATAACAATGCGTCTCTAGAAGGCCATCTCGTAGTCTCGGTATTTGGTTTTTTTTTTTTCATAATGCGACAATGAGCACTTAATGACTGGCCCTAAGGGAAACAGTGAGTTTTGTTTCATTTGTGACAAGTGTTTTGTTATACCTCCCAACTCAAAAATAGCACAAAAAAAAAAAAAAAAAAACTGCGAAGAAATCGTTTGCTTGACGCCGGCCAGCTCACAAATTTGCCGCCGTTTCAAGGAGCACGACCTGATCACGTGCGAGTCGAAAGTTCAAGTTGTTGTTTCCCTAGGGAGATAGTGAGCTTTGTTCGCCCTAGGGAGTTAGTGCGTTTTGACCCACCACACGTGACACGTTCTTCTCCAATCGGAACATGTATTTGAGTTGGGAGGTATAACAAAATTATTTATTGCACATGACGTATTTGTTTCGATCCTAACTAAACCTCAAAAGATCTGTTGCGTTTGAAAGATTTTCACTTTACTCGGATTTTTGAGCTTTGGACAAGTAAAAAGAAAAAGAAAAAGAAAAGAAAAGAAACGTTACAAATCAAAGTGCTCGAATTGTTGACGCATATATCTCGTAATTCATGGGAATTCCATCTCGTGTATAGCCCGACCCATTCCATGTTTCAGTCTGGTCGTGTAGACTGAACGAGGGATTAATGAGGTTTAACGATACTTTAGCTGAGGATTCGTCACGATTTAACTATCAGCTGTCAAATAGTCCGTTTTAAACTTGTTACTGATACATATACTCTTCTTTTTTTTTTTTCTTTATAAAAATACATTTTATAAGAATATTGAGGCTGAAATTTACGAATTTTTTTTGAGAACATTTTAAGAATAAACCCGAGGCTTAGATTAAAAGAATATAATTTTTTGTGTTGAAAATTTGTAAATACATTACAATTATATGCTTTTAACTGAACAGTTAAACTAGAACTCATATCAGGCTTTATTGCCTGCAGCCTGGCTCCAAAATTACTTCAACGGCACTAAAGTCGAACCGAGATGTCATACGCTAAGAATATTCAAAATAATATTTTCAGCCCCAAAATCGGCAGAAAATACGAACAATCAGCCTGGAACGATAAACAATGCAATGTGACAATGCTATGTGACAACACTGCTCTTGGTTTTCTTGTCTTCTAGATGTAAATCCTTGTACATTGCTCTGTCGGCTTAGAAGTGTAGCTAAACCCCATGGAAACGTGATTGACGGAACTCGGTGCGGCTCAGAACGATATGACTATGATGTCTGCATACAGGGACAATGTCAGGTAATATCCCTTGATCTAAGCGGTCGGTAAATAACTATCATTAGTATATACCACACAAGCGAATAGTGCTTTTCGCCCGCCCTGATTGGTTAACTCGGAGGTGATTAGCAAGTACTATTCACCTCCGAGTAGCCGGTACGAGAGATTTTAAAATTTCCGACCGCTTGTCACACATAAAATAACGTTTTGGTCCGCTAATTATTCAGCTTGTGTGGTATATACTAAAACAATTATTCACCTCAGTGTCGGTGAAAGTGATGGATATTTACCTCCACTTCGGTGAATAATTGTTAAATATTAGTGTAAGTGCTAAAAAGCCCGATGAGATAAAAAAAAATGTAAAGCGGACCAGCAAACTTTGAGAGATTTAAGTTCAGCTCACCACCTTTCGCTAGCAAAATGTCAGCTAGTAGAAATCAGTTGACGAATTAAATTTTTCTTGTTTGCCATACAATAAACATCTTATTAACCAAGCTTAGTTGGTCTGTATGGGAGAATCTTGACCTAGGTCGTGTGTACAGACCTCACTGCTTTCGGTCTGTACTCACGACGTCGGTCAAGATTCTCCGATAAAGACCTCCTGCTTGGTTAATAAGAGCTTAGAGGTTAGATAGACAGAGAGATTGATACATGTAGATTGGCTTATTTAACCAGGGGCTCATTCAGGGTATACAAAGTAAAACTGGTATCACTGGAGGCTCTAACGATTAAATCACAATTAAATTTTAATCTCTATTGACAAGTGGTACATTTTTCGAGTTGATCAACTCGGTTTGAGAATGCGCTTATCATTCAGGGTCGAGTTGTTCGAAAGCCAGTTAACGCTAACCCAGGATGAAAAGTTAACCGAAGTATTGATTTTTCTTGGATAAAAGTGTTTTTCACTGCTTTTGTTTTTGTTTTTGTTTGTTTGTTTGTCTGTTTGTTTTTTTTGTAGCTTGAGATTATTCAAACTTAAAACTGAACGACAAACAATGTCAACAGAAAACTTCACTGAAATCAAAATTCTTGCTTATCCTGGGTTACCTTAATCGGGCTTTGAACAACCCGGCCCTGTGCTACTTGTTTTATATTTTTTCTTTATCGTAAATGAAAGTTGCTCTCTTAATCCCGCTCTCTGTCACTGTTATAAAAGAGTTGGTTCGTGCTATTAGCAATTGCGCCACTTAAGTTAAAGATGCAATTGCTCTCCAAACTCAGCTCCTAAGTGTATTCGTAACTAGACAGAAAAAATAATTTAAAAAAGGTAACTAGACAGACGCACGCAAAACACGAACCATTCTTGAATATCTTGAAATGGCGGAGTTGAATCTGAGTTCTCTTCCGACGGAGAGTGAACTCGTTTTGATTCAATTTTCTGATTGATATGCAAAAGGAGCACGTCCTTCCTGTGTTTATTATTTTATGTTTCTATAGTTTAGCAATATTGGGCATCCACATGAAGAAGGAATTAACAAGGCCGCCTGTGATGCATTGTAGTAAAACGCTATTTTGTTGGCAGCTCTTTGCTCCAGTGATATTGTCGTCTCTGATTCATCAAAAAGATAGAATGAACTAAATTTGTAAATAAAAGCATTTTGTAGCATATCAAAATAGAGGGGATATTGTGCCTCAGCTTCTTGAGTTTTATGCGAGCGCTTGTACTTTTACATATTGTTTAATTCCAGGAGGTAGGGTGTGATCACATACTTTATTCTGGAAAGGAGAAGGATAGATGCGGAATTTGCGATGGAAATGGAGACTCATGTACTCTTGTGCAGTCCAACTACACAGAAAACTATATGACAGGTAAAATTCTTAATCGCTTTTCTTCTTCTTCTTCTTCTTCTTCTTCTTCTTCTTCTTCTTCTTCTTCTTCTTCTTCTTCTTCTTCATCATCTTCATCATCTTCATCTTCTTCATCTTCGTCTTCTTCTTCGTCTTGTTCTTCTTCGTCGTCGCCGTCGCCTTCTTCTTCTTCTTCTTCTTCTTATTTTTCTTCTTCTTCTTCTTCTTCCTCTTATTTTTCTTCTTCTTCTTCTTCTTCTTCTTCTTGTTTTTGTTCTTTTTCTACTTACTCTTCTGATCTCGATCTTCCTCTTCTTCTAGTTGTTCTTCTTGCTCTTTGTCGTCTTCGTCCTCTTTTCTTCATCTTCTTCTTCTTTTACCTCTTCTTGCTCTGTTTTTTTCTTCTTCAGTATTTGAAGGTAATATCATGTTTATCGCGGCGTAGTAACCTGATGCTTATCCCTTACACATATACAGTTATGGTACATTCATTTAATTCTTATTATTTGAATCGTATTGGTTTATTCCAGAATGGGATCCCCCGGACACCATCGTTGATCTACCTGTGAATATTTCCAATGCTGTGTTTCAGCAGATCGGGAATGTAGCGCAGTACAACTTTATTGGTAAGAATCTTAAACTCCATCCTTGGACAAAACCAGTTTGAATTCCCATAAAAAGCCATTATTAATAATGGTAATAGGACTGAGTGGAGTTCAGTTCGGTCTGTAACCATACGAGAGATCAACAAAATCGGACGACCGCGAAGCGGGAGTCCGATTTGTTAATCACGAGTATGATTACAGACTGAATTGGANAGAGTGGCTGGAATAGTATTCTGACGAGTGGTTTTAAGTTAAAACCGAGATAGTTGCCTCTTACATTCCTGTAGACGTCTCACTGAATTGGGCTTTTAAACGTAGGTTTTAGACAAAGTCGTATTAGTCTAAATCGTTCTTTACATCAGTCATTTCGTCAGTCAATTCCTACCAATATTTCACCTGAAGTAGTCTTAGAAAGCAAAAGCTTGTTAAGAGTCGAGTTGAGTGAAAAAAAAAAAAAGATTGCTAGTGACCCATGATTGTCCTCAAGCTATTTGGTTTGGAGTGAGTCTTACGTGCATTATTTCTTGCTTTCCAGTATGTACACGTGCCCCGTCAAACGAACGTGGCAGTCGACTATCATTATTACAGAAAACTGCATAGCAACGAAGTTTCGGTACCACCAACTTGTCACTGGATTACCGGGAGCTGGACGGACTGTTCAACAGGTCGGTAAATTTTCAATCTTTTCAGTTTTCAAGTATTTTTTTACCCCGAGCAATTCATCGTCTGTGTATCAATCTTTTGTTCTGTCACTCTTCCATGTCTTTACATTTATTATATAATATTATTCTGTTTAATAGGCCGACAGACACGTGACGTACGTTGTGTAAGATCAGATGATTTGACCCCTGCTAGTGCTAACTGTTGTGGTGAAGATTTCAAGCCGAACTCGGAAAATCTTTGCTTTGAGTAAGTGGAAAGAGTGAGTGCAAGGGAGTGCGACTATGGATCTTTGGGGTAGACTAGTATTTAAAATAGTAATTGAACCGAGTGGATTACAATTCGGGGAGTAATTGCGCGAGTGATTTCAAAATCGGACGAGCGCGAACTACGTGTTGCTGCTTTTATTCTTGTCGTTATTTTCTCAACGCTGTGTTGTTGCTGTTGCTCTTGTTGTTCTTGCCGCTGTTGTTATTGTTGTTATTGCTGTTGTTGCTGTTGTTGCTGCCGCTGTTGTTGTTGTTGTTGTTGTTGTTGTTGTTGTTGTTGTTGGCAGTGGTGGTGGGGCTGTTTGTGGAACATGTATATGTCATAATTGTATTTACAATTTGATTTTCAGTAATACGCACTAGAATGTTAGGTTTATGAGGATACGTGTAGATTTGTTTAATTCTTGCATTTGTTCGTTGTTCTCTGTTTTTTGTTCTTTTCTGAGAATTTGTTTCCAGTGAACAAAGAAATTTGATATAAATATGGCAACTTTGCTTTTTGCATAAAAATTGCACATTACAGATTGAAAACAAAATGTTATTTTAAAGATTTTAAATTCAACGTAGTGTCCGCCTCAACTGTGCGGTATCGTGATGTCAATTTTATTTATATTTGAACGTTTTATGACGTGTAAATATTGTAAATATAGATCAGGTTCTTATAAGGTTTATTTATTTCATTTTAGTTTATTAGCTTTGTCTTTACGATGCCTCCCCCCCCCCAAAAAAAAACAACAACAACAACAACAACAACAAAACATTACAATCAACATGTAGAGGTTTCGCCGGGACATCACAACAGCTAAGTAGCCGATTACTGCGGGCCCAGAAATAAAATATAGGTCATTAGTTTTAAATTTTACTTATTATTCCATTGTTATTAGGTCTTTCTTTTATTTGATACACGACCCCGCAAGCTTTTAGCTTGAAAACTTATCGGGTTAAAATAAATGCTTTCTATTCTATTATATTCTACAGATGGCACCTGTCCAATTGGCAGTCTTGTACGAAGACGTGTGGGAAAGGTAGCCAATCACGGTCCGTTGTTTGTCAAGCGAAGATAAACGATACGCATTACAAGATCGAATCTGATTCACTCTGCAACGCAACAACGAAACCAATTGGACTTCGCTTTTGCAACGAAATCAAATGCCCTGCTTACCGAACAGCTCACTGGTCTGAGGTATGAAACGTGAAGGAAAGTGTTTCTTGGATATGCCATTATATTTCTTTCTTTCTTTATTTCTTTTTTTTTTTGTTTTACCTCGGGAATGTGAGCAACAACAGTTATCTTCCATATCGTAAGTTATTGATAGTATAACTGGTTGCATCCACTGCTCCTGCTTTTATTGCTTTCAGACCTCCCGAGCGCCACCACGTTTATGTGCTCACCACGTGGAACCAGGTTTTCAGTGGACAGAATTGCGTAAATTTAGAGATATGCAAGCTTTCCTAGACATTTGTAATGCATATTTCCACTTAACAAACCCGATCCTGCCACGGAAATCATCTTCCGTAGACTCCATACTTGGATCTCCGCTGGTCGGTGGCATCACATTTCAATTAAAAGAAGTAAAAGCAGGTCATTTAAAATGAAAACGGTGCATGACTTTTTTTCCGGCCAGTTAGGGGGATTTTGATTTGAAACCCTGGGCCGACTAGCTAAAGAAACACAACCAGTAATTGTGCTTTGGATATTTCGTTTTCAGACAAGATTCCCAAAAATGCTTGAGGCTTTGTAAATACATACCTACATAATCCCCTTCTTTCCTAAGTGGCACATAAGATATATGCGCTCAAGTCTCCATACGAGCCAAGTAGCCCTTCAAGCCGGCGCTTATTCTCCGGTTTCTGTAGCATGAAAAGACTAGGAGTATTTCTACTTCCCTCTGGATGGGATGTTACCCCCAGCATTAAATCCACTGGTACCCATTTATGCACCTAGGTGAAGAGAACAAGAACACAACAAACACGACAAACGATCCTTGAATGCACGGACATTTCTGAACGAGTTCTGTGAACTCCTTGGTGCTCCGTGGGCAAACAAATTACATTTACATTATTTTTATTATTACACAGCAAAATATCCCCAGCCCGGACTCGAACCGGGACCTCTCGATCCGGATTCGAGCGTACTAACCTCCTATTTATCTCCTCTAAGTGAATCATTAGTGAAAACTGTTGTTCGATTTACTATACAGTGCTCTAAGGCTTGCCTTCCTGGACAGCGAACAAACTACACTAAGTGTTCACGAGTAAACGATTGGGGAGAAATTGAAGAGGTGTCTGATATACAGTGTCAACATGAACCCGGGCCTCCTTCCATTACCGAACCTTGCAATGATGATAACCCATGTAAAGGTAAATGAACTGCTCATACTACCGGTCATGGAGACAAGAAAACTCATATATTTACGGTATTGAAACTGATTTGAGTATTTCATGTATATTATAATATTTACGAAAGAGTCAAAATGTCCTGGGAAAATAACAAGTGATTTACATGTACATGTTTAGCTGCCAACGAGACATGGAAAAGCTGCAATGATCGATCTCCCTATAAATCGTTCGTCAGTACATCGAGATCGAACTCGAATTTGGAGCGTTGGCCATTTTGGATGAGGTAAACCCGGAGAACCCGGATGAAAACCTTTGAGGCAGGAACAAGAACCAACACAAAACATTAGTCAGGATTGGAAACCGGGCCATGTCGGTTGGAGGCGAACGTTCTCGCTACTATACAACTCCTTCTTGAGAACACAGTGTGTTACAAGCTAATTATAACCCATGCAGTTATTGATATTCCACAAGGTAATTTTCGCGATCGCTAATCCTTTCTTTTTTCAGCTGTCTTGAAAAAAAAACAAAAACATAAACATAAACAAAATAAAAACAACAAAACAAACAAACAAGCAAAATCAAAAACGAAAACAAACTAATAGAAAAAGAAAATAAAGCGATGCTAAAAACCTCCCTAATACTTGTTACTGACGTTAATTACTGGCAAAAGTGTAATTTGTATGTGTTCTAATTTAATTGAAGAAATATGGATTGCAGAAATGACACTTCTGTGAATAATTCCAGATTACGTGATTGGTTGTTTCAAGACACCTCCTGGATTGTTTTCGGAGACACTCGGTGACTTCACACATGAAGCAGATCCGGACCAGGCCCTTATGGAGTGTGGAGAGCTGGCACACGGTAAAAGCTATCGCTTTTTCGCTCTTGGGTTTGGTGGATTGTGTCTGTCAGGACCTGATGCCCAGGACAAATATTATCAGCACAGGCCATCTGCCCGACGGACCAAATGCTCAAACGGGATTGGACTAGGACCACATAGTGTTGTGTATTCGTTCGGTATGGACGATCATTATTTCCGTTTTACATCTTATACATGTGCATGCACGTTTTTGACGATGGTCTGAAAAGAGAGGTATACCTTTTAACCGTCAACGATAACTCGAGCTTTTTGTAGATTGTCAGTCAACGCTATAGTCATCTGCGATCCTCGAACTTTCACAATTTATTCGTTTTATCTCTGGCCAAAATTTTATACCTTAGGCTGTTTCTCTCTTTTAATTCACGTTGCCATGGAAACTGCATTTTCTCATGGAAGTTAAGCCAATTTCGTTTGTTTGCACAACATTCCTCGTTTTCCCAGTCTTTAAATAAAAAAAAAAAAAGAAAGAAGCAGCATTGCAGAATTAGTAGAAGTCAGTTCAAAGTAACGAGGTGACACACTGTGGGAAATAAGTCCTTTTGTATTAGTAGTCAATTTTACATGTACTTATTATATGGCTAGCTCCGTGAGCGGGTTAGATGAAAAAAATCTGGCGCTGTGATTGGCTACCCGCGCGGGATGATGGCGCTACCTTTCCCGCTCGGGACTACCCTCTGTGTCCCGCAAGAAAAATTTTCCCTAAGTTGACCAAGCTTGTGCGTTCAAAATGGCTAAATATTGGAACTTGGCTAATATCCAGCGGTCCTGACCTCACGGTTGGTCAATAACCCATATATATTGTCAATTTATAACTGAGCGAGATTTTTCGCCCACAGATCCACTCCCTGATTTTGAGCCAGTTGGGTGCTTTAAGGACAAAACGAATGATCGTGCATTACCAGATAGCTACGCAAATTTCCGGCCTTTTATTGACTGGCACAACATGAACGCTACCATACGTCAGTGCGCGCTGGTGGCACGTGACATTGGCTACGAGTACTTTGCTGTGCAATTTTACGGAGAATGCTGGTCCTCCGCTGACGCCGCCTTGACCTATAACAAACATGGGGTGCAAACAAATCCAAACAAATGTTGGGCCAATGTTGGAGCAGCGGGTACCAACTATGTTTACCGTTTCCGTCAAGTAAGTCACGTTACCAGCTAGATATTTCATAATCGCCACTGACAAAAACAAATGTTTAATCTGGTTTGATCTAGAATTGGCGTGTGGATGAGCAAAAGTGGAAGCGGGCGCTGGAATCTAATTTCTCAAACTCATTAACAATTCATCGTAAATGTTTGTACATCTGTTTTAAATTGGGTTAGATTTTATTTCTCCATTTATTCGTTATTTTTAGTTTCGATTGAGGAGATATTGTCCACATCATTGGCCACATTTTCAAACACCTCGACATTCGTCAGAAATACTTCGCTGCCCGGGGAGGTACTCCCTTATATGGGCTATATATGTCCAATTAATGCTCAAATCGAGCTGCTGGTAGCCAATCACGTTCGAGAATTTTGTTATAATTTTGATTAATGCTGAAATCGGGCTGCTGATAGCCAATTGCGTTCGAGAATTTTGTTATAGTTTTGATTAATCCTGAAATACGACTGTTTTGAAAACAGAAGTCTTTTGTTTTGCTATAAAAAGGTATCCGTGTGCCGTGATGCCCGTTCATTATCCAATACGGCAGCGTTTAGGCTATCCAAGACTCAAAATGACAGTTTGATGATTCGAACTTACAATGATTTTTTTGTCCATGAATAAAACGATGTCGTGTTTTAGCTATATCGTAAGCCTCTGGGAGTAATTTATGCCAACACTGGAAGATTCTTTAAATATTTATAAAGGTTTGATTGCCAATTCCAGTCCCAACCTTTTAATCCAGAATACCTTCTATAAAGTTATTTCTGATGATTTAGTTAATCGTTACCAGCCTTATTTGGCTTCACGACAAATTAGCTGCATGTTTTCATGCCCGAACCCGCAGTGGAAGAGTCATACGAGATCCTAAGAGACTGGACGTATAACTTATCCACCCCTCCTTGGACATTGCTGAGTTACTGTATATTATTATATTATGGTATGTCTTGTTCGTCGAAAAGCACGTATGATCGCCAGTCAAAGATTTGGTTGTAGTCTATTTCGAGTTGTCCACTGAGAGTAAATGAGTGAATCTTTCATTGATACGTGCGAATAAAGCCAATACATGTTGAACTGAACAACACGTAAAATCAGCTCTCGATCCTAAGCATAAATGTAGACTATTCTGTTCCATTTTCAGGTATTCAAGATGGAAATGGAAAATATTTGATTCGAATACCCACTTGGTCACACAAGGTTCTCTACAATGCTGGAACAAGAATATACTACAACAATAACTACCAATTTCCAGACCGCTTAGAAATTGACGGGCCAACGAACATGACACTTAAAATAGTGGTGGGTAACTTTATTGTCACACATATGCAAATTATGATTGTAGGGATGGGGGTAGGGCGGATGGGGTGTGGGTTAGTGGCAACGGCAGTGTATGTAATCTCCCTCTCTTCTGAGATTTCCTTGTATATATGTAGTTTAGTAAGGGATTTACTTTGTGCTGCTGCAACTCTCTTTACAAAAAGAGTTTGATGTGTCGAATCTTTCTCCTCCATACAAACCGTATGTTTGCGTCTTAAAGACGAGCCTTACAGCCAACACTATCAAGGCTGCAAGGCTAAACTGACCAATCAGTTTCAATCCAAAGACAAGATCTATAACCCCTATCCACAGACAAACACAGGCTTTTAATTGATTTTGGAGTTGACTTACACTCAGGGTGTTAAATTGTTAGTCAGCAACAACAGTTTTTTCACTGCTATGGTCTACTACCCTTGCCCTGAAGATCACACTACACGAAGTACGCGGACATCATACGATGAGGTTGGAACATGTAGCTGGTGGTGGTAGCTCTAGTCTTTTTTTAATAATGTTTTTAACATGGTGTTATTGGGTCTTCGTAGCATCTTCGGGAATAGGCTGGTAAAGTCTGTTTTCCGATGGCTGTCTGTAAGCATAATTCCATCTTCCAGACCAAGAATGCATCTACCTTGTGTGCTGGTCGGAAGCCAGCGTCGCGTTTATTTCTCAATAATCTCCGAGCCGCCAGGTTACCGCGTGATAGGTTTTTTGGTTGAGTTTCTCTCTAAAATATAACTGATCAATTATCTGTAATTGCCAAGAGCAGAGTATTTCCCTGGTGGAGATGATAATTTATGTTTCTTGAGCTGAGATTTTCAAAAGCCGCAAATATGTGCTTGGGTACTGCACTGCAGAAGAAGCATCCACACTGCAGAGTGGCTGGAATAGTATTCTGACGAGTGGTTTTAAGTTAAAACCGAGATAGTTGCCTCTTACGTTCCTGTAGACGTCTCACTGAATTGGGCTTTTAAACGTAGGTTTTAGACGAAGTCGTATTAGTCTAAATCGTTCTTTACATCAGTCATTTCATCAGTCAATTCCTACCAATATTTCACCTGAAGTAGTCTTAGAAAGCAAAAGCTTGTTAAGAGTCGAGTTGAGTGAAAAAAAAAAAAAGATTGCTAGTGACCCATGATTGTCCTCAAGCTATTTGGTTTGGAGTGAGTCTTACGTGCATTATTTCTTGCTTTCCAGTATGTACACGTGCCCCGTCAAACGAACGTGGCAGTCGACTATCATTATTACAGAAAACTGCATAGCAACGAAGTTTCGGTACCACCAACTTGTCACTGGATTACCGGGAGCTGGACGGACTGTTCAACAGGTCGGTAAATTTTCAATCTTTTCAGTTTTCAAGTATTTTTTTACCCCGAGCAATTCATCGTCTGTGTATCAATCTTTTGTTCTGTCACTCTTCCATGTCTTTACATTTATTATATAATATTATTCTGTTTAATAGGCCGACAGACACGTGACGTACGTTGTGTAAGATCAGATGATTTGACCCCTGCTAGTGCTAACTGTTGTGGTGAAGATTTCAAGCCGAACTCGGAAAATCTTTGCTTTGAGTAAGTGGAAAGAGTGAGTGCAAGGGAGTGCGACTATGGATCTTTGGGGTAGACTAGTATTTAAAATAGTAATTGAACCGAGTGGATTACAATTCGGGGAGTAATTGCGCGAGTGATTTCAAAATCGGACGAGCGCGAACTACGTGTTGCTGCTTTTATTCTTGTCGTTATTTTCTCAACGCTGTGTTGTTGCTGTTGCTCTTGTTGTTCTTGCCGCTGTTGTTATTGTTGTTATTGCTGTTGTTGCTGTTGTTGCTGCCGCTGTTGTTGTTGTTGTTGTTGTTGTTGTTGTTG